AGTAGCTGGCACTACAGGCGCGCGCTACCACGCCCGGCTAGTTTTTGATTTATTGTAGAGATGAGGTGTCGCCAAGTTGCCCAGGCAGATCTCGAACCCGCAGGCTCAGGCAATGCACTCACCTCAGCCTCCCAAAGGTGCGGGATTACAGGCTGAGCCACCGAGCCCAGCTTAAGTTCATTTTTTAACCAGAATACTTTGGAGTCAATTTCTCTTTATCACCTAGTATGTACTCAGAGAAAGCAAGCCAATTTTAATATTAGCCTAAGGAAAAACAAAAAACAGTCAATGATGTCTCCTGCAAACAGTTATAAAAATATAATGCAGGGCAAAAACAGATGCTTTGGCAAACATATCACAATTACCTGAAAATTAAAAATAAACACAAACTTTAGGCAAATCTCTACTACTAACCTTGTTGTCCATCTGGCATGGTCACAATGATGGGCTGGCCTATCCCACTGGTGGGAATAGAGTGCAAATTTCCTAGCTGAATTCCATCTGTAACTATTGTGATGACTTGTTGACCCCCTGAACTAACTACTTGCTGAATTGCACCATCCACAGACTCTGCAGTAACAACTTCCTCCGTGGCCACTACTGGAAAAAATTTAAAAAAGGAAAAAAAATCAGTAAATATATTTAGCATAACATAATGTAACAGAAATGATAAGCTAAGGAAAATTATCATTATAACTCCAATGTAATAACTGATTCAAGCAAGGATTACTAGTAAGTGCTAAGGGCACTGGTTAAATGTTTTGGGAGAATGGATATTCAAATGTTGTCACCAAAGATTACTAATCATTACAAAGGGGAAAGTCCACCTGTAAAGACCTGGCAGTCACCATTTTACCAAGTGGTCATTATCAGGATGGACTGATTATGTGCTTCTTGATGGGATGCAATGGGAGGTTACAAAATATCATTGGTGTTCTTTCTAGAAATGTCTGACCTAATCTGACTATTAAGGGCATTTTGGAGATAATGGGCAAATTTGAAAATGGACCATATGTCAGATAATGTTACTAAATTAATGGTGATGCTTTTAGAAAATAAAATGAAGTTGTGGATATGCAGGAGGCGCCGAAGTATTTAAAGGGGAAGTATTCATGATGTCTGATGCCTACTTTTAGATAATTTGGCAAAACAAAGTGTGTGTGTGTGTGTGTGTGTGTGTGTGTGTGTGTGTGTGTGTGTATACATATGTGCACGTGTGCTTATGTGTGTACGTGTCAAAAAGAGAACACATGGGCATGACAAGATGTTAACAGCTGGGGAAAGTTATACACATTCATCCTTCAATTTTTCTGTGGGTTTGAAAACTACCAACATTAAAATTTTAAAAATATATTATAACTAGATCAGAAAAAGGCAATAACATAGACATTATTTCTAAATGACATGGTTTTTTTCATGTGTTATTTGAGGCAACACACAAAGTATAATTAAATAAAACCATTCCCTATTGAATTCAAGCTACCATCCGGATATACAATTGCTCTGAAACAAGCAGAATTGCTACCAACTCACAACAGGGCACCATGGATATCAATGATCACAAGATTTACTAATGATAAAGAGGCCAAAAAGTATGTGAATTATTTTTTTCTAAAAGGCAAAATAAATACTGCGACCTTAGTTTTCAAGATGGACTCATGGAAACAGGCCTGGCTTCAACTCTGTTACCATGTTATCTGGTTTTCAAGGATCACAATACAAAGAGCAGAATACTCAGAATGCAAACAATCTTTATGTTTTGAGTTCTCTTGTTATTTTTGTTTGCCTTAAACAATAATTAGGTTTTATCACCAAGCACTTAAGAAAATTGTGGGAAAATAATTACAAAATAAAATGTAGGGCATAAAACAGTAATATATTCAATAAAACTACCAAGGTTTTAAAACACATTAACTATTGGTTTGATTTTTTTCAAAAACTATCCATATGAAGAAGAAATGTTTCCTCTGGTTGAATGCTAACTACAGATAGTAAATATTTGAAGTACAACTATATAAGAAATTTCTGAGATTACACACATTTAAGGCACAACTCAAGAACTTTCATCTTTGCACCATTTGTAACTGTCTGTCATTAAAATAACAGAGTTCTTGTCTTTCATCCAAAAAGCTTTATTTTTAAGTTGTCTTTTGGTAAGGTATTTAAGGCAAAATTAAAAGGAACCAATTAGGTAAGACAAAGTGACCCCTAGAAACCCTAAGAACTCAACAGTGAAATGTTGAAACACGTAAGAATAGAAGAACCTAAGAACTCTAAAAAAGATTGTTGGTTTAAAATTAATATATTACAAAATGTTGAAAACCCTTGATTAAAAAAATAACTGCGATATCATAAATACTCATTGGTCTAAGTCAAAAGTCAAGTTGTAATATTAAAGAGAGCCTAGTCTGAAGCACCTTTGAAAATATCTGAGACTTCTTCTTCGACATGACTTTTTTTTCTTTTTTTGAGTTGGAGTTTCACTCTGTCGCCCAGACTGGAGTGCAGTGGTCACTCTCGGCCACTGCAGCCTCGACCTGCTGGGCTCCGGAGATCCTTCTGCCTCAGTCTTCCGAGTAGCCGGAATTACAGGCATGCGCTACTACACCCGGCTGATTTTTCGATTTATTGTAGAGATGAGATCTCGTTGCCCAGGCGGGTCTCGAACCCACAGGCTCAGGCAATCCACTCACCTCAGCCTCCCAAAGGCGCGGGATTACAGGCTGAGCCACCGAGCCCGGCTCAACATGACTTTTTAATTATAATGCCATAAAACTGAAATGTGACAGAAAAGAAAATGCTCTTTGAAATTTCCTAAGATTGAAAATTTTACTTAGAAATACTTTGCAATAAAATAGAAATGATGGCTTTTTTTTTTCTTTTTTGAGTCAGGGTCTCACTCTGTCCCTGACTGGAGTGCAATGGTACTACAATCATAGCTCACGACAGCCTCGACCTCCTGTGCTCAGGCGATCCCTCTGCCTCTGTCTCCCAAGTAGCTGAGACTACAGGCGCATGCCACAACACCTGGCTAATTTTTAAATTTTTATTTTTGTACAGATGAGGTATTGCTATGTTACCTAGGCTGGTCTTAAATTTCTGGGCTCAAGCAATTCTCCCACCTCGGCCTCCCAAAGTGCTAGGATTAGACGTGAGCCACCACTCCCAGCCAAAAAATAACATTTCAAAGGTATTATGCCTACCGTTGAACCTGAAGTTAGAAACAAAAAAGCAAAAACAAAACAACTTTATGAGGCCCAATAAGTATCCTTTAATGCCAATTCAGTTTTATTATCCTATTTTAGGAACAGACTAAAAAATAATAAGCAAAATAAACCTGGTTCAACTTTTAGAGAGAGAGAAAAGAACTTTTAAAGCAAATAGACACAATACCCCTTTGGGAAAACTACCTTATTAGCAATCAGCAGAAGCTGCTCTAAAAAACAGTAAGAAGAAGTCAAGCACAGTGGCTCACATCTGTAATCCCAGCACCTTAGGAGACCATAGGCAGTGGAATCACTTGAGGTCAGGAGTTTGGAAACAGCCTAGGCAACATAGAGAGACCTCATCTCTGCAAAAAATAAAAAACCACAGGAGGTGTGGTTACGCACACCTATAGTCCCAACTACTCAGGAGGCTGAAGGGGGAGGATCACTTGAGCCTATGAGGTCAAGGTTGCAGTGAGCTGTGACCATGCCACTGTACTCCAGCCTGGGTTACAGGACAAGACCCTGTCCCTAAAACAATAAAAAGTCGATGGAGGGCTACAGGCTAGAGATACAAAACAGAGTTTTATAAAAGTATTTTAAAAGGACCAGATAGCTACACTACAGATGTACGGTCCACATATTATCAATCACGACTTCCAATTCTACATCCCAAATAACTCTCAAATCTATTCATTATTGTCTCTTTGCCAAATCCTAATTCATGCTACCACTGTAGGATCTCTTCTCAGGCTGACTGCATTAGACTCCTAACTAAACTCCCTCCCAGAGCATTCTTCTAAGCCTGCCAAAGTGATTGTTTTAAAACTCCTGTGTAACCTTACCTTCAACCACCTTGAGTGACTCTCCCACTTACTGGGTTCTGCCACACTGACCTCCAGGTCCCCTGAAAAGACAAGCTCTTTCCTGCCTCAAAAGTTTCTCATGTCCCTTTTCCTAAAATGTTCTTCCTCTAACTCTTCCTCTACTAATTCCTATTTAATCTTCAGTTTAAATGTCTCTTCCTCTAAGAAGATTCATGAACCACCAGAGTGTCCTGTAAGCTTTAGTAGAAAGACAGGAAAAAGTGATTGCCTCTGTTTATTAATAAATAGTGGACTACATGGTGGTGGTTTTCCTCATTAGGAAAAAAAGTGGCCAGGCACAGCAGCTCAAGTCTGTAATCCTAGCATTTTCTTTGGGAGGCTGAGGCGAGAGGATTGCCTGAGTTCAGGGATTCGTGACTAGCCTGGGCAACCTGGGGAGAACTTGTCTCTACAATATATATATTTTTTTGAGTCAGAGTCTTACTCCATCGCCCAGGCTGGAGTGCTGTGACACACTCATGGCCATCCCAGCATCGACCTGCTGGGCTCTGGTGATCTGCCCGCCTCAGCCTTCCAAGTAGCTGGAACTACAGGCTCTACCACACCCTGCTAATTTTTGATTTATTGTAGAAATGAGGTCTCACCAAGTTGCCCGGGCTGTTCTCAAACCCGTGGGCTCAGGCAATCCCTTCACCTCGGCCTCCCAAAGTGCTAGGATTACAGGCTTGAGCCACGAGCCCGGCCTCGTCTCTACAATAAATCAGAAAAATTAGCTGGGTGTGGTAGTGTGCCTGTAGTTCTGGCTACTTGGAAGGCTGAAGTCAAAAGAATTGCCTGAGCCCAGCAGGTCAACACTGGGGTGGCCGTGAGCGTGCCACTGCACTCTAGCCTGGGCAATGCAGTGAGACTCCAACTCAAAAAAAAAAGAAAAAAAAAAAAAAGTAACTGCAACTCCCAAAGACAGCTTTTCCTTTTCTGTCTTTTCATTTGAATGACTTTCAAAATGAAAATGATTTCTGAAATCGTATGACTTATAATGAGATCCTATCTATCTAAATCCCACCCACTCTTTAGGAGACAATTCAACATGTCCCCCCTCCACCGCACCCTCCCCATTACAGCTAAAAGTAACCTCTTTCCTTTGAGCAACAGTAGCAATTCAAAGAAATACTGTAATCATCAAGCACTGACAACCTGCAGTTATATTTGCTTATAACATCAAGAAAAGACAGGTATCACTTGGTTTCTCATTGAAAACATTATAGTAGACTTTATGAGGTTCTCATTGAACCAACATTAAATTTTTTTTTCTTTTTTCTTGAGTTGGAATCTCACTCTTGTCACCCGTGGGTTCAGGCAATCCCTTCACCTTAGAATGTAGTGACATGCTCACGGCCACCACAGCCTCAATCTGCTGGGCTCAGGTAGTCCTTCCACCTCAGCCTTCAAAGTAGTTGGAACTACAGACCCATGCCACAATGCCCAACTAGTTTTTGTGATTTATTGTAGAGATGACATCTCATCAAGTTGCCCAGGCTGGTCTCGAACCCTTGGGCTCAAGCAATCT